TAGAAGTTAAGTCAATATTGAAACCACAGAAAAGACACACATTTGTTACAGACCCTCTTCTGTTGTAGGGTACCTTTTTCCAAAATCAGACAGATATATAATTTATGATTTTGGTCACTCAACAATGAGTTTTTTCAAGATTATGGCTCTTGTTATTTTTTTTTTAAAGGAAATGCAAACTGATCCTTGGGCTATAGGGGCGAAAAACCAAATAAAAATGATTTTTTTGCGTGCTAGATATTTTGGTTTGGATCACAAAGCACAGGACTAAATAATAAATAATAAATAGTTTATTTGTATATTGTCTTATTCATTCTCTCAAGATTCACCATCAGGAGCCCTTTGTTATTGTTTGCCCAGTTTGTGGTTATTATTTACCGTGATCGTTTTTAGTGAACCGGCCACTGAAGTAATAAACTAGATAAAATCTCACTCGGTGGACAGTGAAAAGAGGTGGGGGCTCATTCCTAGTGTTATTGAATTTTCACGACGCATACTAGTTAGTATCGAAAGTTGCTTGCGTTGGAAAAGGCTTAAGGTGATGTTTAAACAGGCCGACAAGCAGCAGCAAAAAGATACATAAGCACATTCCAAACTCTCACTTCAGTACCTGGTATGCATGTCCAATTTTCAGCATTTAGTCTAGCCTCTGAGTAGGCGTTTTTAGCTATACGCCACGGAAGTTTCCCTCCGGAAAGAAATTAGTTTGATTGTTCATTTTTCATGGCAAAGGTCTGGAGATCCGTACAAAATTTGGGTTTTTGTTGTTTGTCATTTTTTGTCACAAAGAAGTTTGAAATGGGTTTCTCCCCGGGATGAGTGATGTCGTTGTACTAGTCGTGACGTCATCTTTTTTATGTTCTGCATCGCAGCAGCTGGATCCCGCATTTCGTTCAACCATGCGAGCAGAATAGAAGTCTAATAGAACCCTCGAGCTCTCCTTGAGCGTAAGCTGATTTGTTTTCCTTTGGACTGTCATTTGCTTTACCGACAACCAAATTTATTGAACGAATATTGGTAAGATCTTGATTTACTTGCGATTTGTTAATCATTGTTCGCTCACTTTAATTCGATTCGAAGTGCAAAAATGCTTGTGAAAACTGTACGACTCACTGACGACTGTAGATTTTTGCAAGAATCGTAGATCATTCGATATTTAATGAACTGTGTACTTTCTCTTGATTTTCTACCTTTCCAGGTATAGCTGTTCAATCATGATTTCAGGAGCCATTTTTACTTTGTTGGTGTCGAGCACCGTTTTATTTTCTTTGACAGCTGTTGCAGGAGAAGTAAACAAGTAAGATTATAACCTTATGCAGATTTTCAAATGACAATTAAGTTTCGATTTACATGATCACGTTTAAAGTAAAATTTTGCAAGTTATGTAGCGCGATAAAACGGATTTATCCATCCCACAGCGTGAACTGAATCATGTCCGAAACGTATTTGTCCTTGTTGAGGTTTCCTGGTGGCAGGGCTGTTATTAAGATATAAATGGCTGCTGGGGAATGGAAAAATTCTTTTGGTTTTGTTTTCCTTTTGATTTTAGTGAGAGTCGGTGGTGTTCATGCTATAGTACATGTAGCTGTGTGAATCAGCCAGCCCCCCTGGCTCTTAAGGTAGCCCTTGGCTGAGAGACAGAGAGACCCGGGATCTGGGATTCCCGTTATTTTAAGCTCGAGAGTGAGAATTTTGAAGCAAAATCAGGGGGAGATTTGGGATTGAGGGTAGGCGCGGGAGGTGGGATGCCAAAAATAGCCATTGGGATTACGGGATTGAGCAAAATATTGGGTTACGGTTACAGTATTGAAGAACCCTTTGAGGACCCTCATACTCTGACAGGCAAAAATAAAAATAGCAATGGGTCAGTGCATTCCATTGGTATTCCTGTTAGGCCAAAACCATATCCAAGAAGAGTTCCTTATCTTTCTTTTTAAGCTTTAAGATGAATTGTGTAAATAACACAGATCAATTTTTTGGCACAGAATGGCAACTAAAGGTTACACTCTTTGTTAACTCCTCCCCACCCTGGGCAATGTCCCCATACCCTCTAGCAGCTTGTGCCCAGGATCCCAGCTTTATGGGCTTCTGCTTGACTGTGGCGGGGGGGGGGGGGGGGTACTGCCATTTATGGGCTATATAGGTATGTGCCGCTGTGAAGGGTATGGTTTTCAAGCAGTTTACTCTAGGATAGGGTATATAAATCAGACATTTGGGTCTAGAATAGGGTGTCATTTTTCAGGAAACTGATCAGCTGCAGTTGGCTGAAGATTTTTTCTAGACTAGGGATTGTAGTACAAGGTCTTGTTTTGGCTAGACTACTGTGCTAGTGACCTCAGTAGTTTCTGGAAAACAGCTACTCTAGGATAGGGGGGATTTGGGGAGTTTACTCTAGTATAGGGTAGCAAAATCCAGCTGAACTAGGTCTGGTATAGGTTAAGGGTTCCAGGGTCCCAGAGGCACATCCCCACCCAGAAATTCCTGAAGTACCCCCCCCCCCCGTCTGCTTGAGCCTTTGGTGCTCGTATTATTTGCCTATGGTAAAAAAATATCTTAATTTTTAAGAGTCAAAAGGTTGGATGGGCTCAGCTATAGAAATAAAAGAAAACTGGCAATTCTCTAAGTTAGCCCCTGACAGGCAGGGTTACTGAACTGGTTGGGTGTCACTGTAAACAATTTAATGTTATGCATTCTTTTCAACAGCACATACTTCATAACAGCCCCGAGTGTGTTCCGTCCTGGGCAGCTCTTCACACTTCAAGTATCACTGAGCAGCATTGTCACTACACCAGTCAACATAACATGTGAAATTGTGGATACAACCAAACAGAATGTTTTGATTGCAAGTGAAAGTGGTTTTTTCAGTGCTGGTGAGAGTTCATTGAAGCTTCTGCAACTTTCTCTGCTGTAGCACAACATCAAATTTCTTGGTCCAAATATCAACACACATCTATTGAGCATTTTATACAACTCATGACAAAAATGTGCCTTGAAACCTGGTGATGAAGGATAGCTAGGATAGCCTGCATGGCAGGCGTTAATAGGGGAAGGGGAAGGGGAAATTTGGGCATGCTCTCCTATGCTATTTTCTAGGAGAGTTGACATTACATGTACTTTTTATTATTTTTATACATGTTTGACACTCCAGGATCAAAAGTCACGTACTTTTAGGGTTGCAGTTGCTTTTGACCAATTTTTGATAATTATTCAAAATACGTTACTTTATTTTCTTATTCCTGCAGGAACTGCTCAAAAATTGACTCTCAAGGTACCTTTGTTGGTTGTTTTTCTTTTTTTTTTCTATCCATTTTTTCTTTAAAGTTGTGAGTATGGAATCTGCATATTTTGCATTATGTGTAGGATCCAGAAATATCCATACCTCTGCACCCACAGAAGGTCTTTTTTCTAAGACCCTATTGGGGATTCTTATGAACACTCAGTCCATACATTTGTTTTGTTAATATACTAAGGGTTTTTTTCAATTTTTGACATAATGGACTAGTTAAGGAAAGTCTGTCAACACCACTAGTACTGGAAAGAGAGCCTTGAAATTACGTGAACTTGAAAAGTTTAAAAGTGATAGTCCTAAGCGAACAAAGATAGAGCTCTGCAAAATTGCTAAAATTTACTGAGGTTTGCGCGGGTCAAAAGTTGAAAAACATCATGGAAAGGTCTATTATAACATTTTGTTTATTACGCGTTCTTGATTTAAGATTCCTCATGGAGTGGCCTCTGATTCTGGATATTATGTATTGGCTGTTAATGGAACAGGAGGTGCCACTTTCTCAGAAAGGAAATATATTCGTTTTGTGGAGAAGGGCTTTACAATTTATATACAGACTGACAAAGCAGTGTACAAACCTGGACAGAATGGTAGGTACAGCATATAATTTCTGTGCTGTAAATTTACATGAAACTTTCAATTTCTTTAGGAGTTACTTTTAATTTGTACTGTAGCATCTTACAGTGTACATTTCATTCTTCCTTATTAAAAGTCTTTAATTTGTTGTTAATTACATCAAGGCACTGTGAATAACAGTAAAGTTTTTATCTGCTTTTAGTTAAATTGTAAGATATTCGTCTTGACAGTTGTTGTTGTTGTTGTTGTTGTAGTTTTGATGCGCATTTTTGCAGTCCATCCAGACCTTAAAGTTTATAGAGGCAATGTGAGTGTCACTTCTTAATTCGGGTTGTTATTGTAATAAGTAAACAAGTAGATATTAATTGATTTTATCGCTAAATTTAGTGAAACTGCAATAAAAACTAATTTGATGAGAATTATACATGTTGGGAGCAAGAGTGAAGACATTGGGCCACAAAATGGCAGGATTGTTTAAAAGTTCTCAGTATATGTACACTTGAAAAAATTTCATGTTGAAACCATTGAGATGAAAGACTGTGTGTTCTTGTGGGAAAAATTCTTTCCCAGTTGGTGCAATCAATAGATCAGAGCAAGATCACAGGAAAGGAGAGCCAGCCCAGATAACCAGTCATACTGTAAAATTCTGAAAATAAGCCCCGGGACTTATATTTTTTCAAAGGCCCTTTTTGAGGGTTTTTTTTTTGGAGGGGCTTATCTACGGAGGGAATTTACCGTTTTTGCTTTGTTTTATTCTGTATTTGAGAGCAATTTCCAAGTACAAGCCCCCAGGGGGGCTATATTTGGAGGGGTGATTAAATTGGAGCTTTTTTGTGTTATGAATTTGGGGGGCTTATATTTGGAGGGGCTTATACATGTATTTTTCAGAATTTTACGGTATATGTCAACTCTCCCGAATATGGCACTGATCTCCCGCTCTCCTATATGGGCCACAAAATCTCCCAGATAAAATGGACTTTTGAGCTTTTTTGTACTTTACATGTACATGTAGTTTGTAATTTAGCCCATTTTTCACGAATACAAACTTTTTTTAAGACTTCATATAATGTCCCAAGTCAATCCCATGTCATAATTTGGCAGCTGGATCAATTTGTGGGCTGGGTGGGGCGGGTGGGATGGGGGGGGGTGCGTTAACATTCAGGTGGGGTAGTGCAAAAGGGAGAGTCTCCAGATTCCTTGTTTGCCCCCAAAATTTTTACAAAGCATACTTGTCTTTTATTTCTCTTGGGTACTACTCTAATTCCTGAAAAAGTTATGCAAAGTTTTGGGGGGCAAACAAGGTGTATTATGGGAGATGTGCAAGAAGCGAATAGATATTTTCAAATTTTCGTTGTGTTCATAAAATGATTTAAAATAGTCTTTATTACAAGCAATAACTGTTCTTTCTTGTCTCATTCAGATGACAGTGGACATTTTGGTGAGTAATAAGTAATAAGTGCCTGACTTTGAGCATACAGTTTCCAAAGGTTTTTACAATCAACTTGGCACATAGAGCTCTTCAATTATTATTGACTTATTTTATTTTATTATTTATTTTAGGATCCTAATGGTAATAAAATGGCACATTGGGTCAACCTCAACAGTGCATCAGGTTTTGTTTTTAAATTATTTCTATAAATATTGCTTTATGAACATGTAATAATCAACAATTTCTGTAACAGGTTTTTGAAACTCCAATGCAAAAAATGCTAAGATACTGAGAAAACGGGTGCACAAGTTTAACCAATGTCAGCTATGCTATAAAGTATGTATTTTACTGAAAGCTGAGATACAAGGTAATTTTTGTATGGAAGCAGAGAGTTTGTTGTAGAAGGATAAGAATTGCATGCAAAGTAGATCATTGCAGATCAAGACACAACTTGTGCAGTTGCAAAAAAAGGTCAGGCCTGCCAGGATTCAAACCCTGACCAGCTTTGCGATACCAGTGCAGCACGGTTGTAAATAACTGAGCTAGCATTCGGGTACAGGTGACATACTGTTAAGGGGGAAACCTGCAGTATATTAGTATCTCAGCCCATGACTACTGTTAGTGAACTGGGGTGGGTTGAGGGCGGTGGTAGCAGGGGGTGTAGAGGTGAGGAAGCTTTCTGAAACTAACAAGAAGTACACTGTCAGTACCTTAATAAAGAAAAAATGTCTTTCCATTATAGGGGTGATCAAGAGAGAATTTCTCCTGTCAACTCAGCCAGTTGAGGGAAACTGGAAGATATCTGTTTCAGCTGCGGAGGTATGTACATTTAAGTCCTGTTAAATATTCATAATATTTTCAAAGGAGATGGTATCTTGCATTTTTCTTGCAATGAAGATCAAATATTACAGGAATCTTTGATCGTGATACAATTATTATGTTATGCATGCAGGGCTGTCAACCCCCCACATCTTCAAATATTTAGAATTGATAGGGAAGGGGTGATGATAAATGGCGTTATAATGCACAGTACATATGACGTCATTTGTGCAAAAAATACTCGTCGACTCCTGACACAAAATGCGCGAAAACGGATGTTGTTAGCATTTTAACATTTGACCTGACTGGTTTACTTCCCACCAATCAAATATTATTATATTACAATTGCATACCAGAGTTTGTGAGGAAAATTAATGTTCAATGTTAACAGTAAAGTAGCTCAAACAACGCAACATGAGATTTTATTGTCAGTAAGTTGAATCTATGAGAAATGGCAAACCTCAGTGATCACCAGGAGATTTCAGACTCTAATCTGGAAACCAAGAGATATGGTCCAAAATTTGGAGTGAGTTGACAGCACTGTTCATGATTGATGTAATTGTAATATATATGAATTAAAAAGCATTTCTTTTAGACTGGCTTTCAATTTTTAGACCACAAGGTTATTTGGCACTGGTTTGAATGCACCAGTTAACATTTGAATGCACCAGTTAACATTCTCATCTGCAGAATCGCCCTCTTTGAAACAGTTAGACAGTTTGAAAATTGATATGTGAATGAATCAATTTTTGGCAATTAATTAATTCGGCTTTTGTAGGATATGAAGAATTAATCAGATAGAGGAGGGTGTTTGGCCAAGGTGGATAACACCCTCCGAGATCTGCTTAATTCTTCATATCCTACAAAAGCCGAATTCATTAATTGCTTTATTATTCATTCAAAATAATTCCTAGTTTAAAAACATAGCTAAAATATGCTTACCTGCATCGATGTTAAGTTCATCTTCGATAGTGAACGTTTAGGTTTGTCCAGCTCTGCAAATATTCTTCAAATAGGAAATGTCACCCTCCAAATTGTTTTCTTGCTTTTTTTGCCATGTTGTTAGCTATTATTTTGCCTAGTTCCAGCTGTAGTTCTTACTCTTGAAATGAGTGAAATGTCCACCTTTTTTTTTTTCACAACCAAAACAACTCAACCTTGTCCCCAGGTCTTTTTGGTAATGGTGCCTTAACTTGTAGCAGACTGCATTTTTGACGTCATTTCCTCAATAAACACAAATTCTTCCAAATTTGGTCATCAGTTTACAACTAATCAGGTAGACGAAGAACCACTTTGTGGATGTGCTACCTCCAAATCATTATTTATTTATTTATTTATTTGATTATGGCAAATTATGCGTGTGCTTTAGCCAATCAGTTTTGGGGAAATATTTTGAATGAATAATAATATATTTTAACAAATAAATTACATGTTTTAATATTTCAATACTGACTTTTCAGTTAAAAATGAGGCAGATAATTTGCATTATAAATTTGCGTTCACTAAGGTTTTGATAAAGCCAGTGTATCTGTGAAAAAGAACATTGCAAGACATGATTGTACGTGTATTCATTTGTTTGTTACATGTAAACAAAGGGTCTATGTGTATGTTGACTTTTACCACAAAATTTTATCCTGAGGCCTGCTCAAAAACATTAGCCTGAGAAAACAAATTTTTCTCCCCGCTCATCACCCAAACATCTGTTTTCACAGGCTACAAAAACATGCTATATTAAAAACGTTTGTTTTTATTCATTATTAGGATCAAAAAGCAGAGCAAGTGATTGAAGTGAAGCCTTATGGTATGTACGTGTATACTCGCTTCGTAAAACCAATGCACCAATCTTCTGTTGGTTTGAGAGTTCTATAGTTAACAATACAGGGCGCTTTTTGAATGTGTTTTATCACCATCTCATTTAGGGTCAAATTACAGTGTACATGCAATTTAATTCATTCCAGCTTAATTTCGGCTCTGTTTTTCATACTCCTTTGGAAAACAAAAGATCACTAAATTGTTTCATAGTAGGTGGGATACATCTATGATTGGCGGGGTGAGTGTTTTCCTGAATCAACTGTTGTTGACAAGTAACTTACATTTCCACAACCTGTGCAGTTAAGTCATCTTCAGAGTCAACGTGAGTTGTATCATGTCAGTTGCAGGGTCCGAAATTGCGCCTTCCTGGTCGCCAATGCGAGTAAAAATTTAGTCCTGGCGACCAGAATTTCATACCTGGTCGCCAGCTAGCGACTTGTAAAGCTGGTTGTTATTGTGGACTTAAACGTTCGGAGAAACTAATTAAGAATTGAAACCTCGAAAAGCTATTTGCCAACAGGTGTCTTCCTTTTTGTCCTGCTGATATTTTTTAATTAAAAGGGAAACGAATCTTCCTGTAATAATACCTCCACAACAGCTACGATCAATACGAGTTGAACGTTTCCAAGCCGCCATTACGAGTAATGTGGCACAAAAAAATGTGGCCTGGTACGAGCAACATGGCGGCTATGTTTCGTGGTTGTTTTGTGGATTGTTTTGTGGTAGTTATCGGAAGAAAATAGTTTTGATATGATCCGGTACAGTCATGGGCAGACAGCTTTCTGTTCCTATGTTCTAGATCAGATGGCTTTACATGTATATCTCCAAAAAGTAATTTGTGGAAAAAATGAGACTTCACTCGTACACGTACGGTTTCTTTCTGGTATCGGGAGCAGAAGTATTGCAATTTTTAAGCACAGAAACGTCCAATACCATGCATTTTTTATTCCTGTTTAAACTTTTATTTGAAAAAAAGGGAGGGGGAATTTTTGGCGACCTGAATTTGCCCTCTGGTGACCAAAAATTTATACTTGATCGCCAGTTGGCGCTCGTATTAAAAAGTTAATTTCGGACCCTGAGTTGATGGTTTTAAACTCTGGTTATCGACCTGATTTGCCATCTGTCAGTTATAATTTGTGATGTTTTTGGCTCATGTCTTCATTCATAATCAATCTTTCAAAATCAATAGTTCAAACTCACTTCTTTTTTTGGAACACAAATTGTCTGAGAGTTAATACTCTTACCATGGAACACTTTAATCTCCTTTGCAGTGCTTCCCAAGTTTGAAGTGAAAGTAGAGCTGCCACCCTACCTACTTGAAAAAGAGAAAGCCCTTCATGGGAAAGTGACTGTAAGGTGCGTTAAAATTAGACTCAGTCGAGGCAAATGTATTATCACTATCAATTTGTTAGTGACTCTCATGGTTCGTACAATCTTCAAAAGGTCTTGAATTTTAGTAGTTGTCTTGAAAAGTTCTTTGAATTCGGTTTAGGTCCTTGAAAAGTGCTAATTGATTTCCTTATTAGGTCTTGAAAAGTCCTTGAAATTCACTACCTTGTTTACACCAGACACCCGTTTTCTGTAAAATTAGGCTTTTCGGCTGAGGAAAATCTGGCTCACTATAATTCCTGAGTGTAAGAACCTATAAAACACATGGGTAACGTAAAAACATTTTTGTGTTTGAACAATATTTTATTTCTAGTTTTTCTTTATTTCAAATACAATTTTAGTACCTAAGGTGCAATTGCAAGTCATACCCAGTCATTTGCAAGATGTTGTTGTGGAAAGTAGTATTAAATAATGTGAACAACCTGTGATGACTGAAGAAGTTAAAATCATAAATGACTCCACGACACATTTTAGCCAATAATGTGTTCAAAAGGGGGGTTAAAGAATGCCAATTTTTTAAATAAATCTTAGTCCTTGAAAACTGTAATTTGTCCTTCAAAAATCCTTGAAAAGTCCTTGCAATTTGTTTGTATGAACTATATGTGGACCCTGTGCTGTCAGCTTGATTTCACATTGTTAAATGCTCCTCCGTACCTTATGTGAAGTTGAAGGGTAGTTGGCAAAAAAATTGAAGAAGCTGCGTCATGAAATTTATCAAAGTTCAAACAGATTGCGAAACACAGCAAATACAAAAGGCGGAACCAGACAAACAAACCTGAAGAAGACCACTATGGACTACAATGATGATGATTTAATTGAGATGTTTAAAGACCTTTTATTTTGTTATACTGGTAATGCTTGGGTAACATATTCTTATATTGTTTGACACAAATGAAGCTGTCATTTTGCCAAGCATTAACCATTGTCTCCAGTCTCTCAAGAGAGATTTGAAGCAAAGGTTATGCCAACTTTTTTATTTCTTTATTTCTTTATTTCTTTTTTTTTTTTTTGGGGGGGGGGGGGGAGGAGGGGGGACAAGGTGTAAGGTGGGAAATGTGCAAATTGCAGATGTTGATGTTTCTTACTTTTTGTCATATTTTTTGACCCAACAAGGTACACTTATGGCAAAGGTGCTAAAGGACGGGCAAATATTCAGTTGTACTTTAATGCCTACAGTAGAGGAAAGAGGCCTGCATTAGCTAAAGATATTGCTGTAAGTACTGATTATTTCTTCACCATATTAACAAAGTCTGTTTATTTTTATTGATTGTTGACATCTTTTTAAAATTATTGTTGTTTTTGTGGTTGTTGTCATATATAACTACAGTAATTTGTAAGCAATGGATATACACACAACTTCACATTTTATTTAACAAACAATGTCGTACAAAGCAGAATGTTGAAGCAAATCAAGCAAAGGAATTAACTGAATACATGTTTGTGTCATAGGCAAAGGCTCCAGCTACAGTATATCATTTCATAAACCAAAAAGTTCATTACTTCTAAAAAAAACTGGGTGAAAGTAGGAGGCAACAGTCCCATTTTCATCAAACCCCCAAACTCCACCAGTCTGTCAAATGCCTGAGGCTGTTTTTCTTTTTATTCATTGTATTTCATTCACCATTAAGTACAATCATTGACAAGGATGTATAAACGAATCACATGTAGTCAATTTAACTTTTTTATTTTGAATGTTTCGCCTCTAAACAATGTGCTTCTTGTGCCTGAGAAAATTCTGTTGAAATAAAATGATGCTATCAGTAACACCAGTTTTTTGTTACAACTTTCTTATTAACAATAATACGAAGGAGTAAGGCATTAAAAAAAGAGATAATGACAAAACACAAAGCTAATAAAGAGGGATGGAGGGAAAGGAACAAGTTTAGTAAGAAGGTGTTTCTTCAGTTTTTTCTTAAAAGTTGATACACTAACTGAGCTTAGAATGTCTCGACTAAGTGAATTAAAAAACAAGGGACCTTGGTATTGAAATGAAAAGCGTCTTTTGTTAGTTCTGATCTTAGGAACATGAAAGGAACTGGCATTCCAGGTTGTCAACTACAGCCACCAAACTTGTACTTTCCGCATAAATGAGGATGGCCAAATGTCATCATTATCATCATTAATGAACACAATCTAAAAACGTTTTTTGGTAGGTTGATGGAGAAGGCAGTTTTACTTTTGACAAGGGTCTCATTCAGCAGTTGTTCAAAGAATCTTTCAGCTGGGTCCGCGATACCACTATCGTATATGAATATCAATATTTTGTGTCAGTGAATGCTACTTTCCATGAAGACCTAACCGGCAAAGTTGCCAGCGCACAGGGGAGTGTGTCTCTTCATGAGATGGATGTGAAGCTAAAATTTCCTGACTTCAACCCTGGTTATTTTAAACCAGGATTACCATTTGAGGTCATGGTAAGTAGACAAGATTCAAGGAGGTTAACGTCGGCAGAGATTCTATATCAAAATTATACTTCGTATTGCCTCCGTTTTATTTTGATTTCCCTCCTCAGGGGCACCCATCGAGAATATAGTTCAAAAGCACTTAAACATAGCATTGTTGAACGTATTTTAGTATTTAAACGGTAGATATAGGCATATTTTTATCCCCTAAAAATTTTTTATCTGTTCGGATTTCCTAGCTGAAAGTCTAGTGATCCGAAAATTATAGGGATCAAAACTTACCTTTTCGAAAATTTTAGATGTTCGAAAATCCTAGGAGAGGCAGGCAAGCAAGAAATCTTACAACAAATGTTCCGAAAATTCCAGATCTCAAATCGTCTTCCGAACAGATATTTCCCGAAAATTGACGTTGGGTGCCCCTGCCTCCTCTCCCCAACTATCTCTCTCTCTCTGCTAAGTGCCTAATACACAATATTGACACCTTGGGCTCATTGTTATGCACGAAGTACAACGACTGATATCGCCGGGACAGGTTTACGAGATATTCATAACTGGAAAAAAAATTAGGGAACGAGGTGAAAGACTGTTACAGGCCCACAGTAATTGGCAAAATCTGTCATCACTGAAATTAACGCCTTATATCTTTTTATAAAAGCACTCTTTCTGAATTCCGCTCAACACATAACACACTACAGTCAACCAAGTTTGTCTCTTTGCTGTTCCAGCAAGTGAAGTTGTGTATCTGCGCTAAATTCTTGGACACAAAATTGTCGGAAAAGTCAAATTTTGAGACGCCCGAAGGTGTCCCGACTAAAGAACGAGTTCCAAGCAATATGCCGTAAAGTTGCGAAAATAAGCCCCTCCAAATATAAGCCCCCCAAACTCGTAACGCAAAAAACTCTCCGTTAAATCGCCCCTCCGAATATAAGCCCCCCCGGGGGGCTTGTACTTGGAAATTGCCCTCAAATACAAAGCGAAAAAAAGCAAAATCGGTAAATTTCTTTCCAACTATAAGGCTAACACAATCGATTTTGAAACGCAAATTTCCCTCCGTAGATAAGCCCCTCCAGAAAAAGGCCCCTCAAAAAGGGCCTTTGATAAATATAAGCCCCGAGGCTTATTTTCGGAATTTTACGGTATGTAACAATTGTAATTACGGTCAATTACATTCCACTCTTTAATTTGGTTTATAAGCTGCAATGTTTTCAAGGATTTTTGAGGCGAAAAAAAAAACGTACAAAGAGTTTTGGTATTAATTCCACATAATTAAAAATCACTGACACAAGGTTTGATTCAGAGCCCGTTTGTTACTTTCCTGGGACTTTTGAATCGACATTTTGTTCGCAGTCTGCGTGTCACAGGTGCAAGTGAACACTTTAAATTATGCACTACTCTTTACAAGTAATATATGGGTTCTTAAAAGGGACAGGTTCACGGTTAAGCGCATGCTCATTAATTAAATTACTTTTTTCCAATTTATTATTAATTCTGTCGGTTAATAATCCCACTCACATGTATCTCAGTGATCTCAGAGTGTATTTCAAAGAAGAAGTGTATTTCAGAGTAACCTAAAGTAGGATGGAGGAGTACTAAAATCGCAGAAAATATTAGTGGATTATGCCAACACTACCAACGTTGAATTTATTGTTGACCCGAAGGTGTTATTCCATGGTTGATTAATTTACAGCTATTTGCAAATATTTAAGTTGATCAAGTGGGGAGTGTGCAGATTGGTTCTTTGACAACATTAGGGCCATTTATACGAGAAAAAATAAGACGCGTTTTACATAAGACGCGTCTTAAATAAGACGCGAACTGTGCCATTTATACGAGCATGTCTTATCTAATAAGACGCGTCTTAGCTAAGCCGCGTCTTATTTTAGGTGAAATGTGCCGTTTAAACGGAAAGTTCGCGTCTTATGTAAGACGCGTCTTATTTTTCCTCGTATAAATGGCCCTATTATGACATGATCATATTTCTTGCATAGACGATACAGCGTGTTCCGGTAACAAAACAACATTTTGATAAATGAATATCGTCCTTATCCGAGAACACTAGAAAGTCTAACCGTTTGCAGAAGTCTTGACGCAGGCAGCACTTTCTCCTCAGTTTCTTTTTAAGACCCTGAGGGTTTGTCCTGCCGGGGTATGAACCAGTGGCCTCTCGCTCGGCAAACCTGCGCTTATCCAGTTGAGCTAACCGGGTGGCAATTGCTGTTGTTGTTGTTGTTTTTAGCTTCAAGTTGTAAAGCCCAATGGAGATCAACACAGTCCAGATACATTGAAGTCAATGAAAGTCAATATTAGAACATCGTACAACTGGAGACAAAGAAGCTCAGAGGAATCCGTAACTCCCTCTGAAGATGGAAGTATCATTATTAAGAGACAGATCCCTTCAGATGCACAGAATATAAATCTAGAAGTAAGATGACTCCTTGTTATGCCGCATTTTGTCCATGTCCATGTTTTCTACATGTCTTTTTCTTGAATAATAAAAAGATGAGGAGATTCATGAAAGAAATGGGCGCTTGTGCCAAAAACGAGTTAAAAGGATGAAGGTTTGTTTAGAGTGGAAAGTGTACTCAGCTTATCTAGTTAGTTTAGACAGGCACCTCACTCAAATGCTTAGCAAGAAATAATCCGAATAGAACACAACGGGATTAACAACCCTAACTGGCAGGCGGCAACATGTTGGCTATTGATAAGCGTGGCTGAAGATTTGAAATCGTGATGACCATGAAAAAATCCAGCAAGTGGCCAGAGCGGAACTCGAACCCGGAACTGTGCGTGTCGGATTGAGAGTCTGACGTGCTCTCCACTAGGCCACGCTGCCTGCTGCGGTTTGCAACAGGTTTAAGTTTGCCCGCGCTGCATCCCATTGCCCGGTCAGAAAAAAAAAATTATTTTTTATACTGTTTTACTTTTTTTACAGGCAAAATATTCCGAGGGTCAGAAGACTGAAAGTGCATATTTATACGCTTATAAGGCAGATTCACCAAGCAAGTCCTATATACAGTTATCAACTACTACGCCTTCTGTCAAGGTATATGAAAATCGCTCCAAATCGCTCCTAATTCACGTTTGTTCAACCTGCCATAAAAACATGACTTTCCAGTGAACGCCATTGTGGTATTCTGTTTCACTTTCGGTATGTGGAGATGGTTATTTTTAGCTTGGGTTGTAAGCCAATACATCTCCGTAAAGGTAATTGATTTTTTCTGTTTTTACAGGCTGGTGACAATATTTTGTTGGATGTCAGAGCCTCTTTTTCCTTCTCAGAGTTACGATACATGGTAAGTTGTGTCAGAGAACCCTGTAGCCCATTGGAAAGTTAAAGTTAATGGGTTGGAATATAATTATATATAGCTCCTGCGACGGCACGAAAACCATACCGGATAAGGCTTCTATTAACACGTAAGAACGGTGATTTCAGCGCGGTCTCTGTAACAGAGAGAAGCTTCGCCGCGCCGATCTGAAAAAGTGGATCGTCACTTATCGGATAGGTTTCTGTATGTGCCTTTCTTTAGCGCACTGTGAACAGGTGTCTATACTATAACGAACAGCTTTTCAGGTCTACGTTGTAAACGTGTCGTTGTAGGGTAGACATATCCCAGTATCCTCTCCTATTGCTCCTATTAGAAGTGTAGTCGAGGTGTTTGTACTAGTTTGCTTGCTATATGTATCACTGAAGATGGTTGGTTCAAGACCTGGTATCTGTTTCTCGTATTGTTTTTTTACCCTTCCCCTGCATTAACCACCTAAAGTTAAACTACGAGTAACCTGCGTCACAGACGAAACTAAACACTAGTTAAAGGAGCTGTGTCACGAAATTCAGCCAAATTAGGTAATTACAAAATGCCTGTTAAATTAAGAGAAACGTAAAAATAACCGCTTAAAACATTGAAGGAAGGGTAAAATAACATAACAGATACAACAGATGCCACGGATGGGCAAAACTGAAGAAGATTGAAACTGATTGAAATTAGGGTTTTTGAAAACTGTTCAGCCTAACAGTTTTTTAATTTTGATCTCTGCTGTTTGCAACTTCAAAAATAATGCTCAGGGGACATATGTTTGTCTCGAATCTCTGATGTTGTCATTTCCATGTAATTTCTCTGCTTACTTTAAGTTCAATAGCGACTGAGGGCGAGTAATTGGCAAAATTAAACAAAATGAACTGGACTGCCGTGACACAGCCCCTTTAAGTCTGCCTGCGAAACAGCGCCGAAATCCTTGTACTGGGCCCCACCTGTGTACCAAGATTTGAGTACGCACCATGACTGGCCTGTTAAAAAAGCCATTGTCGATTTTCCAATCAGGATGAAAGGAAATTCGAAACGAGCTTCTGGCAATTCGTTGAGTCCGTTTGGGGCCCAGAACAAGGATATCGGCACTGCTACACAGACGTTACTATGCGAGGTTGACTTACGCCTGCGACGCAGACTAAACTACGAGTTGTCCATCACTTATTTTCCTCAGGTAGAGTGTCGCGCACGAAATACGAGAGCGCGTTAAAATCGCCGCGCGCGAGGAGAGGCGTGGGCTCAGTCTTCTGCCTTGAGTGTCTCGATGCACTCGTGGGGAGTACTGCGGGGGCATCAAGACACCCAAGACTGGAGACTGAGCCTAGGAGAGGCGTGGCGTGGAGGGAGGAACAGAATATTATATCGTACCTTGCAAGAGCATCACCAGTAACGTTTAATTTGAATATCTCGTTTGCTTCACTATCCCTGAGGAACATATGGCACTACTTGTAGTCTCGCCAAAAGTAGCTGAAGTGAACGCTCAAAACTTTCTAATTCTATTTGCAGCCTTGCAGTGCTGTAACAATGTTGTAACCATTCGAAACAATGTCGCAACAATGTTGCAACGCTGTGTTGTGCTAAAAATCGTCGTTGCGAATCGTCTCGTGTAACATCACCTTAAGGTTTTATAATAAGATTTCGGCCACAAACGCAAATATCAGAATCAGTTTAAAAAGCGTAATAAATAGTACCACGCGAAACAAACAGCTCAAGAGGTTTCATTTGAATGGTTACACCATTGGATTTTGCCCTCAGGCTTGAAGTTAGAATCACTCTATTACCACGTTTACGATATTCGGCTCTTTATTACAATGTGGGTTACTTTCCTTTAACTTTCTCGTCCTAATTTATGGTTTAGGTGATGGCAAGAGGCGTATCTGTATCAACAGGCGCCCATAATGTGTCCCCTAGTTCCAAGAAATCCTCATTGTCTATCCAGTCCACTGCAGCCATGGCTCCCACAGCCCGTGTGCTGGTATATTGCATGACACAAAACGGAGAAGTTGTGGTTGATTCTTTGAATGTAAAAATAGACGACCCTTTTGAGAATCAGGTAACTACAGCCTTTCTTTTTGTTTTTGTTTCAGACGTAAATCTTACCTGTATTATTTATTGCGACCTCATGGAATGGCGGACAGGGCAAGTAAACAAAGTTTTTCAGAAAAATTTCACTTTCAAATTTATATTTAAAATTAATATTTACTGGAAAAAGTCTAAATTATGTGCTCTAGAAATAGCAGACATAGTGGACAGCTCTTCATTTTGAATATAGTAGTATAGTACATGGAAATAACATTTCAAAAACTAATTAATAATTCATAAAGAAAAAACAAATGAAATTAATGTTGAATGAGTGTCTATATCTGATAAAGACACGGCTAAACTGTTACGTCCAACTTTTTGGACCAAAATAACCCCAAATCTTAATATTATTGCAAAAATGAGTTTATCTATATCCGAGATTTTGAAGTCGTTCAAAAAATCCAGCTGGAGTGTATTATCAGGTGTAAAAATCCACCCTAATTCCCGGGGTCATTTTCATTTTCTTCACTTTGTTTCTTTTCAAACTGTATTCTCCGTATTTTCTTCCAGCTCTGACGCCAGCACTTACTTTCAAATTGAAGCTCCTATTTATTATTATTATTAACAATTATTGAATTCGGCTGTCGTATAATCTGAAGAATTTTGGAGGAGGGTGGATTATCAAGGAGAGTGTTACGGCGTCAGCGGATAACACCCTCCGATATCTCCATATTTCTTCAGATGATACGAAAGCTGAATCCAATAATTGTTTTATTATTCCGCAAAAACAAGCCAAAACATGCTGACCTCCATCGATGTTAAGTTCAACTTCGATAGTGCAAGTTTATCCGCAAGTCTGGAAGATAAGGTGTTGTTCAGTTCTGCAAATATTCTCCAAATAGCAGATGTCGTCCGTCGAGTTATTTCCTTGCTGTTCCTGCTATGTTTTTAGCCAATAGTTCGCCTATTTCTTCCTCGTGAAACGAGTGAAATGTTCCGCCATTTTGTACTCACTACCAAAGCAACTCAACCGCGTCCCCAGGTCTTCACGGTTAACTGTCCAGTTTTCTGGCAATTATGCTGTAGAACTGACGTATCGCCTAATTTTTCCAAATTTGGTCGATAATAGCTGGTTATGATAAATTATGCGTGGGATCTTAGCCAACCAGAAACGGAGAAATCAGATCTTGAATGAATAATAATAATAATTGTTATTACTATAGTTTTTTGCTATTGTTCTTGCCTGCAAGTATTCTCCCTCGTATTTTGATTGCTTAGGTGTGCTTTGTTTGGTCATAGAATAAAATATGGTTTGAATTTGTGGGAGTCAATTGAAATCCTTGGCACTGTTGGTTTCAGGTTTCAATGACTATTGACACAGGTAACAGGAACACGGTGTCCCCAGGCGATATGGTGACAATCAAAGGCAAAGCTACGCCTGGCTCATTCATGGCCTTCCGTGCAGTGGATAAGAGTGTCCTCCTAATGAAGGAAGATACAGATCTCTCTGTTAAAAAGGTACTTTTATAAGCAGTTTGTTGCAGGCTTATTTGTCCTTATTGCTTGTAACTAAAAGAGGCTAGTCAGTCACGTACTTAAAGGCAATTTCAGCAAATGGTTATAAAATGAATGGTTATAAAATTGTGGTTATGATCACACATTTGTATTGACCAAAATTAATCCTTCTCCATGGGAGAAGAAGGCCGTCTGCCTTGTTCCTGAACAAGGTATTCTCAGGGCGCTTTTTGTTATGTTTGGCCACCACGACAACCCAAAGGCCGGCTGGAGTAATCCATTATTTACTATGCTCAGGAGTTTGACCCGTTTTGGGCAACTTTTCATTCTGTTTTTCATATAATGCAGATCGAAGCATTGCATTTTTGTCGTGACCGAGTTTCATTAAACTGTTGATTTATATGAATAAGACTCTGAGTGATAACTTACGAGAGCTTAAAAACAAAGGAAAAGTCCAGTTGGGTAATCCCAAAAGTGGTCGCGGTCGTTTACCGGAGCGGTCGCTTACGACAGCTTTTCATNCTGTTGATTTATATGAATAAGACTCTGAGTGATAACTTACGAGAGCTTAAAAACAAAGGAAAAGTCCAGTTGGGTAATCCCAAAAGTGGTCGCGGTCGTTTACCGGAGCGGTCGCTTACGACAGCTTTTCATTACAAGTCACAATTCAAACGGGGTTTCACAAAGGTCGTCGCAACTAGAGCTGGTCGCGTACGTGAGTGGTCGCATGGAGAGCTTCGACTAAATTTATTTGTTTGTTTATTTATTTATTGACTTGGTAATGGAAAGTATTTAGAAAGTGCCGGTTCCCGCCAGAAAAGTGTCTGGCATCGAGAGAATTCTCTGTTGTGAGTTTATATTTGTAATTTTCTAGGTGCTGGAAGACCTTCAAAGTTACGATTCTGCACGAACTTGGTATCCATATTGGGAGTGGGGCTTCGGTCGGAGACGCCGCTCGATTATGCCTTTTCCCACATCTGGAAGTAATGCCGGTGCAATCTTCGAGGTTTGTGGCAAGAACTGAAGAGAATTTAAATATATGGCCTAACTGCGATGCTCCCTTTACGTATCTTCTATACTCCCTCCCCTCCTTTGTGTGAGCGCCTCATTTGAATTGGTATCTCAGTAGATGTCATTATCATCAGTCGTTATCATCATTTTTGTCAACCTCATCGTTTATTCAGTTGATCTCGAATTTTAGAGTAACTGATCAGACTTTTGTCTTCGAGCAAAATAAGTAAAGCTAATTTTTGTGGCGAGATGTCTTTGTAACCTTTTTATTAGATGTATAAGTGCTCGTTAGAGAACTTAAATTTTACATACTGATTGACCTCATTCTCAAATTTCTGAAGCGTTGACGAGGGTTTAGTGCGGTATTCGCGTGACAAATTTGTTTTGTTGTGTTCATTAACGAAAGTAAAAACTGACCATGTTTTTTCCGCCTTCTATAATTATTAAGTAAATCTTATAGTCGTCGGGCCTTTGCTCATGCTGCACCTGTTTTATGGGACTCGCTTCCATTAACTATTAGAACTAGTGGCAGCCTCGCCATTTTTAAAAAGGACCAAGAATCAAGCATTGATAGCCCCTGTTTACTTGAGCGAAAGTCTAGGAATATAACAAAGGCATATGTTTATCATGCATCCTTTCCAGTGCACCTGATTAGAAGATCGTTAGAAGTGCACCTACTTAATGTTGTTTTGTTACTCAACAGAACTCCGGTGTCATCGTCGTAACTAACTACCAACTACCCGAAAGATCGATGATCCGTTATAAAGCCGAGATGCCAGTTATGTTTGGTAGGGATTTAAACAATGGTTCTAGGAAGGAAGGAAGCGTCTTGTTTCTTTAACTGGTTGTTCTGTTGGCTCAGTTGGGAGAGCGCCGGTCTGCTGAGCGGGAGGTCACGGGTTCGAACCCCGGCCGGACCAACACTTAGGGTCTTTAAATAACTGAGAAGAAAGTGCTGCCTTTGTAATGACATCTGCAAATGGTTAGACTTCCTAGTCTTCTCGGATAAGGACGAAAAACCGTAGGTCCCGTCTCACAGCACTTACACTTATCTGGTTCTTGTGGGACGTAAAAGAGCCCACACTACCGTTCGAAAAGAGTAGGGGACGTAGACCCCGGTGTTGTGTCTGCAAATGGTTAGACTTCCTAGTCTTCTCGGATAAGGACGAAAAACCGTAGGTCCCGTCTCACAGCACTTACACTTATCTGGTTCTTGTGGGACGTAAAAGAGCCCACACTACCGTTCGAAAAGAGTAGGGGACGTAGACCCC